CGGGCGGGGCTCCCCCCGGTTGACAGTTCACTGTCTAGCACTGGCTTCGTAGTGCACTGATCGATTAGGCTAAGCTAACCTGTAGCTGCTCCCTCCACACTCACAACAACTTCATACAGACATAAATAAAGCAGCTGTATTCGCCATACAGGAAACACACATTTAAAACGGTTTTGCCTGCCGTTTTTGTGTACACACAAGCATTAATCAATGGTTCGGAAAGTGGCGCTGAACCTTAATAATATAAAGGCTTGTATTTGCGTGCATTTCCTGTTCGGAAAGTGGCAATGTACTGAGAGTGGAGGTGTCCTGAGATTAGCGCCTGCAGGCAGGCTCCATGGACCTGTCAGCTCCGGACGGCGCAAAATGCGTACATGAAGCGCTACGTCATGAACGCAATAAATCTACCCTCGTGGGGGCGCGCTCATGTGATTGGTTTAGAATTGAGGAGACTTCTGATTGGCTATATATAGAAAAAATTACAAGTACGAATCGGCTGACCGTCAGGGGAGTCTCAAAAAACCCACACGCGAATGCACAGCGATCCGTTCACGCGGTTTGTGTTTGCAGGTTCAGAGATTTTAAACGGAAAACAAATGTGTGGATCAAAAATACACATTTAAAACTTTTTTCTGTATTTGGATTTTATTTACATGTATATGAAACGGAACACATTTGTGTGTGCATTGAAAAACACAAGTGTGAATCCTTTTGCGGATCATGAAATACAAGTGTGAATCCTTCTGTGTGCATGTGTCTATTATGAGACTGTTCTGAGCCCATACAGATGTGGTATTCTCTACCTTTATCCAGTTTGGTTATGACCAGGTTTCCTCCATACTCAGGGTCAGCATGGATGACCCAGAGACCAAGTTCATCCACAGCCACGTCCAGGTAGGTGTTGGGGTTCAGACTGTAAACTGGTAGACGACCCGCTCCTGGTACAAGTGTACTGTCCACCACGGTACCATTCAACAGGTCCACCTTTATGTGAGAAAAACAGATAGAGATAGAGTACTTAAGCAATACTTTCATAAAAATGTGGATTTTCAGTTATTTTTATCCCAGAAATGGATGAGTACAAACATTTGCCCATGAGTCTACTTTGCCAGGTGACTCATTGTAAAAACGTTAAAGGGCTATTTCAGCAGATCAAATAGCAAAATAACAAAGCTTGACGGACACTTTGAATCCAGTTTGAATGTTAAAAAAGCATTTAGTCACTGTGGAGATATCAATATCTCAAGTCAAGAAATCGGCCTTGCTTGCAAAACTTGAGTTAGGATTCAAGAATTATAACAAAACTGTGAAATGTACGTGGTTAATTTCAACATACGGACAAATTGAACAATTGCTAAGAACATAAGGTCTTTAAAATGTTTCCATAATGTATTAAATTAGGAGGGTATTTAACTGTGGAGAATACAAACATAGATATTCTATGCTCCTGTCTACAAATATTCTGTTACTTTTCTCCAAATATTAATGTCAGCATTGTAAATTGTACAAAACGGCAATGCTAACATGCGTGTATTTAACATGTATTGTTTATAATGTAATCCATCTTAATCAAGCAGTCTATCGTTTGCTATTCAGCAGCAAGTATTAGTAAAAATTTGAATTTTTACCAGAATATGGTCCTATATGAAAAGATAATAGAAAATAAAAGTTTAATGACAATTCATTCAGTACAGTAGTTCACAATGTATACCTCATGGTGGTGCTAGAGAAAAAGGCATGAAATGTCAGCTGAATTAATTGTTTAATAACTATAAAAGTATATCCAAAATGTCTCGGACACCATCTAATAGTTTATGAGATGATGTCGGTAGTTTCAATAGAACCATTTTATTCTTTTAAAATATTTTTATAAACCTTTTTTCCAGTAAACTTTCTATGGCAATGACATCTGCTTCATAATACTGTATCTTAAAAAAAGACACCTCATTGCTCTGGAATAAAAGTGTTTATTTTAGAACTGTAAGCTCAGTGACCTCAGGAAATAGGGTAAAAATCAACTCCCAATGACTAAGCTCCTCTGGAATGATCTGAGGTCAGTTTACTGCCAAAACTACACAGCAGTTTGACTTCAACACTGTCAAAGTACCAAGTCTTTGCAATGAGCAGTCAGTGTTCTCAGTACTGCAAAGCAATGTGATCCTTTAATGGCTCACTGCCTCTACTGTTTAAACAATTTTTTCATTCCGTTTAATATTTTACAAACCGAGCAAATCAACAAAGAAAGGCCCTATTTTGGAAAAGCACACATACCCAATATGAGGCTTTAACTACTTTCCACACACCTTCAGTATCTGGTTTGGAGTGTCCGCCTTATGGTAGTAGAGGAATCCATTGTAGACCACCTGACCCGTCCCGATCCAAGGAAAAGGCAGCTGCAACACCTTCACTGGTGTGGTGGTGTTGCTCTCTGTGAAACTGTGCAGGGAATCATACTCCAGCAGAGTGTTGTTACTGATTCCACTGAGCAGGTACACCTGAAAAATATACAGTCTTGACCAGTTGAGAAGAAAGGGAAAATTGTATCATGCAATTTAGCTTTTAGATTCAATTCTTGGTTTAAAAATAGTGATTATATAGTATTAGATTTCCTTTTTATATCTACATTATAATTATGTATCCCTTGCTGATGGGTGCTATTTGTTACATGACATCTATAGAGAGGTGCAGTGATGACATGTTTTTGTAGGCCGACCGGAAGTAAGCATCATAAGGGTTCGCTCAACATAAAAACAATGGGAATTTTCCATTGGATTTCAGAATATTGCAGAAAATAAGCTCAGTGCCAAACACACGTTTATGATACTTTCACATTTTCTTCAGCAGGATAATCTGCATATATTAACACCGCTTTTTAAATAGTTAAATATTAATTGCGTTTGCCAGAAGTAAATACTGTAGCTGTACCTGTACTGCTGTAAATTGACGGTCACATGACCTCATGTCACCAACGCTAGCTAAAGCCAGCTAATTATTGGCATTTTTTTTCATTTAGCCACTTGTTAGCAACCACAAAGCTTCAAATGTTCACCAGTGGAGTATTTACTGACATATTTCATTTCGTAAGACAAAGCATAACATTAAGTTAATTTCAATTCACGGCAGACCTTATATCAGGAATATAACCCAAAACCTATTAAAAAAACATTGATTCCGAGATGTGGGAACCCGTAAGTGCTAATATGCTAACTAATTTCTCGGTTTATGACTCATTCATGCACCACTCTTCTTAGATCCATCCATCAGTATCCCAGTATCGAGTGGTAGATAAGTTCAGTCTGCCTACAAAAAGAAGCGTCCATTAATACTGTAATCAAATGAAGAACAGACCTTAGCTGACCCTTGAGAGGGGTCCCTGAACCAGGAACCATAGGTGTCTCCTGCCTTCTTCACAATCTTGAGAGACTTGATCTGACTCAGGACAATGCTGCAGTCTGGGGATGTTGGAGACAATACGAATGAACTGTAACAGAATGTTCTGCTGTTATACATATTAATTGACCACCAAAAACTCCACTGGCCTGTGTCCTACCCTTCTCCACTTTAATCTTGGCTTTCTTCTTCAGCAGGTCCAATTCTGCAGCATTGATCTGTTGTTCCAGCAGTGCCTCTTCCATCTCGATGTCAGTCTGGGTGGGAATCTTGTTTTCGAGATACTCCAGCTCCCTCTCGACGCGGTCTACACGGGCAGACACGCTGTCCATCTCGCTCTGCACCTCTGATCTACAGAGCAAAACAGTTGAACTCTCACAGTTCTCATGCACCTCACTGCACACAATAACGTAGTTGTTCAGACAGAATTACCTCACAACATTGAGGGTGGACAGATAACCCCTGATTTCAGAGGAGAGGTCATAGGTCTTCTGGGTGACGCCCACTGTCTTTTGCTCACATTGATTCATACGCTCCTGATGCCATTGACACAGAGAAAAAGAACAGATTAAAAGATATAAAACATGCCTTTCTACCTACAATTGGTGAATTCATAAGGAATAAACCTCAACTCGATGGACTGTCGATAATCTAGCCTAATTTAGAATTAAATATAATGTATAACCAGCTACTAGTGATTCATAACTGTAATGTGTCACTTAAATGTTGCTGCTAGTAAAAGTGGAGGTAATTTAATTACTTAATATACTGCTGTCTAGTTCAACTTATACAAAAATAAATGATAATTCATATTAGTTTTTCAATAATTCAATAAAAGCTGGAAAATACATGTGAATAAAGTAAAAAGTACATCTACCTGCAATTAATTGGAGGCATTTACATTTACAAATGGCGGCAATGAAATGGAAATAACAACTCGAGTACTAGAATATCAAAAGTGTACTCAAATACAATATTTGAATAAGTAAGTAAGGGAATAGGTAAGTAAGGGAATAGGTAAATGTACAGTGTTAGTAGGAGCTGATGTGACATTACTTTTAAATGAAGTCCAGTATAGTGCATTACATCACTGAAACATGCTGTTTTGCTTCTCATCTGATGAACACATGCATAGATATTTTTAGAGTCCCAATCAGAAACCCATAACAGGAAGACATTATGAAAATCAGAGGATGGCAAAACATTTGGCACCCAGATGATGTGAGCATCTTGTACACAGATGATATCTCTTATTCATTACCCTGCTAATTTCAAGGTCTCATTTTTCCAACATCATATCAAAAAAGTTGGTAATGTCACGTCAGGTCATGTATGAGTAAAAGCTTTGAGGATTAAGCTAATAGTTCTATAAATAGAGCACAATTAATCAAAATGTTACCTAAATAGCAACTTGGACTAGTGCTAAATTCCAATCACAGGAACGTAAATATTTAGTAAAGGCTAAATATTTGTAATAGTAGTCTGGTACAAATCACACCAAAATCATTTCACATATTTTTACAGATATTGAGAATAACGTTTCACGAATAATCAATCCAACAATGACGTGAATGGAAATTGCATTATCAGTCAAAATGTCTCAAATCGAAATCATGCAGCCGTAGCTTCAATGTCTCCTGACAAATGCAGCAACCTCGAGTAGGAACTCAGGGACACCTACCTCCATTTGAGACAGTCTCCTCTCCAGGTACTGGATGATGAAGGAATCATGGGGGGAGCCCTGACTGTGGACTGACCCCACAGTCAGGTAGAAAGACAGGAGGGCGACCAGAAACGCTGTAACTGACATTGTTAGCACTTCTGTCAACAGCTTAAACTGTTGATAATGCTGCTAACAACTTCACTAGTTCTGGGAAACCCTGTGACCCTTTCCCTAAACACTCCTTCAGGGTACAGCCCACTGGGAAAACTGCAAACAGGAAAAAAAAAAAGAAAAGATCACTCTACAGTATAAGGCTTTTGTAACGGTCTAAAACTTGATGTGCTGTGCTCGAAAGCCTTTCTGTCATAGTCCAAACTCCGGAACTTTCTGTCTTGCTGCTCCAGTGGATTTGGATCCAAGTCAACCTCAACCAGAGCCTCCCAGACTCTGTGACTGTCTCTCTCCCACTCTTCCCCTCTCTGGAGTTTGTGTACTTGAGGAATGAGAGAAAAACCAGAAGAGAAGGAGGGGGGAAAGACAGTGATAAGTAGAAACCACTGAGGCGGTCTGTACCCTATACTGTTTGATCCTGCAGTTTTTTTTTTTATTGTAATACTCTCCAGATGGCCCACTGACACGTCCCCAGTTCTAAACATGGAGCAGAAGCAGTTCAATAAAGTTAGAAACGCTGTAACAGGATAGGAAACACATAATCCTTTCATGAAAAAGTTCCTTAACCTTAAAATAGACACTAAATCTTAATCTAATAAAGCAGAAAAATAGTTCTTGTTAAAGATGGAAAGGTCCACATATTTGACCTTTTTATCAATAGATCAGGACATTTGTAAACAAGGGTAAAGGAGAAACATGATGATAAAGAGATGAATCATTTCCAACTTAGAGTAAAGTTTGTAGGAATGAGAAGAAGTACACCAACAAGACGGAAGAACAAGAACATGAAGAAAACAAAAGAAGAGACTAATGTAAAAAGAACCAGAACAACAAATGGAAAGGAGAAGAGGAAGACAATTAAGAAAATGTAGAAGGATAAAGAAGAAACAGAAGGGCAAGAACAAGGAAGAAGAGGAACAACAACAACAACATGAAAGAAGAACACCAATACAAATAAGTCCAAACTGCACTTTGTTGATCCCCTAGGGAAATTCATATTATTGACTTATATAGTTACAAACATAAAATATCTTTAACATTGGTAAAATGTGAAGAGGGCTGGGGTTGGTGATGGTGTGTTCATTACCTTTTTGTATTATTCATACACATCTGTATACTTTGTCTCAGTACATGTGTGCCTTCTTGTGATGACATCTCGCTAATTTGATGAAAAGTTAGTCGCAAAAAAATCCTCACAATACGTTGGTCTTCTTACAAGACAAAAAGGGAGTTTCCATCTGCAGGATTACAGGTTTTATTTTAATATTGTATTATACAGCTACAAAGCAAATAATACATTTATATTATTGTTGCAGACAGCGTGTCTGCCCGGGTAGACTGTTGTCACCTTGTCATTTATTTGCTCCTAATTCTAGACTATACAATAAAATACATGCTATTATCTAATACCCCCATAACCTCTCAAAGTAATGATTATTCCAACTGGGGAGACTGAAGGCTTGAAATGTAAAATAGAAATATGATCAAATAAAATATGAACAGACATCTGACTTTAAGAATCCAAGTTATATGTATTTGGCAGTGTGCTTTCTGCTCTTATTACCATGTGTGGTGACTCTGACTGATTCAGGTCCAAACAATGTCACTGCTATTATGGGTAATTCGTGGTTGGATGCTGTTGTTTAAAGACTTTAATCTCCAGCTGGCACCTTATTTAGAGCCACCTGGGCCTGTTTCCTGGGCTTTTTTCTTGTGACAGGCAACATCTGGTTGTCAGCTTTCAACACGGCACCAGATCGGGCACATATATTGCACATTTGCTTAGAGTAGAATCTTTCTGAGAACAAGGCAGGGATAAATGAAGGAAAGACTCTTACATGCTAAAATGTAACATATCCCATTTTCTCACGTAAAAAGGCCCTGTTATGCTCTTTGGGGTTTCACTTCCCTGTAGTGGGTTATATGCACTCACAGGACACTTTATTAGGTACACCTTGCTAGTACCAGGTTGTACCCCCTTTGCCTTCAGAACTGCCTTAATTAAATAAGGTGCTGGAAACCTTCCTCGGAGATTTTCTTCCATATTAATATGATAGCAACAACACACAGTTGCTGCAGATTGGTCGGTTGCACATTCTTGATGCTAATCTCGTGTTCCACCACATCCCAAAGGTGCTCTATAGGATTTAGATCTCCTGACTGTGGAGGCCATTTGAGAACAGTAAACTCATTGTCATGTTCAAGAAACCCGTTGGAGATGATTTGAGCTTTGTGACATGGTGCGTTATCCTGCTGGAAGTAACCATCAGAGAATGGGTCACTGTGGTTATAAAGGGATGGACATGGTCAGCAACAACACTCAGGTAGGCTGTGGTGTTTAAACAATGCTCAATTGGTACCAAGGGGCATCAGAGCATGCCAAGAACATTTACCCCTCACCATTACATCACCACCAGCCTGAACCGTTGATACAAGGCAGGATGGATCCATACTTTATGTTGTTTACGCCAAATTCTGACCCTACCGTCTACATGTTGCAGCAGCTCGCCTCATTTGCACTCCTTTGTTTACTTCTGTAACATAGTGACATCACTCCAACACATTGTGCGTAAATAGCTGAGGGGCGGGACATCTCTGAACGGCTGATCAATCACAACACAGCCGCCAGCTAACCAATCAGAGCAGACTGGGGGTGCTGCAGCACAGTCAGTATGATAAAAATAAAGACCTTTTTGAACATTAAAGCATGTAAACATGTCACAGGAGAGGAAAAAAATACAAATATGACCCGAAAGTGTGCATAATATGTCCACTTTAAGTATATATTTAAAATATTACTTAAATATTTTTAAATGTTCTGACACTTTACACTTCTACTCCACTACATCTCAGAGGGAAATATAGTACCTTTTACTACATTTATTCAACATTTGTTGTATCTTTGAAATAAATTAAGTGATGTGTTCATATGATTTATATACTACTGATCTCCTTATTTGTACACAAAGTACACACAATTTGCTCCACATTGACAAACAACAACATTAAAACTCTCTTTAATCTATGTAAAAAAAAACGTTATATAAAATGTTCTATCATAAAACACTTGTAAAAGAGCAATTTTGCAGAATAAGTTTTACTTTTCATACTTTAAGTATTTTACTTTTGTATTTTTACTTAATTAATATTTAGAACTTCAACGGTTAATGGAGTTTGTTTTAAACAGTGATAACATCAGTTTTATGGACAGGATCTGAGTAAAACTTCCATCACTGCCTTACTCTGACAACCTGTTGGAATTGTAAATGTTCTATCTTTTATCAGGCCTCATAATTATAACAGGCTTCTACCGCCAGAGGGCGCCAAATCACAAATATAATACTACACCAAGGAGCAAGCCTGACCACAACAGCCCACAAACAGGCTGGGTAATTAACAGACATGTACGTCATGGTCCAACATACAGTATACACATTTGGTTGGTCTAGACCAGTGGTTCTGAAATGGGGGTACGCGGACCCCTAGGGGTACGTTGGACTACTGCAGGGAGTACGTGAGACTTATTTTATGTTAATGAAAAAATACAACATAAGTAATGCATTTAAACAAGGGGAAGCCTACCCCTGGCCTAGACTCTAGACCAGGGGTAGGCTTCCCTACGGCTCTACAGCGACATGCAGTTCTTCAGACATAAATAACAGCTATTTGTCTTTTTTGTTGCACAGGTGAATTGTTTTTGAAAAGGAACACCTGGTCTAGACCCAATAGTCTACAAACTGTTGCACCTGTCCCCAGTCTCCCCTATATTGCTGTGATTTCTTGCTCTTTAAGTTGCCCCCCCCAAAACAAACATGTGACTTCAATTAATGACTCATAATCTCAACCAAAGTCATTTTGGCTTCTCATTGGAAATATGTAGAGAAAATGTCTTTACAATATTGTCTTTTACTGTTAACCAAATGTTAAAGCACTAAAAGGACCGTACCTTTGGAAGCTATCTTCATGACCACACTAATGCAAACTGTTGAAGCCTGTTGCCCTCAGGGCCCACGTCCACATTGATTCCAAGGAGAACCGAGCACATGTCATCACATGCGGCCCTCTTGAGAAATACTGTCGCACCGAGCGTCTTTTTTTCCGAACACTCCACCCTTTTTGGGCGGCCTCTATCGTGCTCTGAGTTTAGAAATACTTAGACCTCACTGTAGTAATTGGATGTAAAGCCTGTTTTGGGACATGTCTGTCAAAAAGCCTGTTTGTTGGAGCAGATCGGCCAGGTGTACCCAGTGAGCGTTGTACTTTTATCTGTTTTTCCCCTCGCTATACAGCTGTCAGACTGAGCGGTGAAGCTCATTCATACAAAGTGTGAGAGCAAGAATCTTCCAGTTGATGTTCATAGTGAAAGAACAATGTCAAATTGTATATAAGATATATAAAGAAGCACAAACAAATGATACAATTCAAGAGAGCGATGCTAGTCTGTCTTGCTAGTTGTCATGATATAGTTGTCGTAGAAACAAAAAAAGCACTGGAAGCCACATAGGAGCTTTGTGGACACAGGCCCTTAAACAAAACCATGTCGTGTGTGACTCCAGTTTATGACTCATCAGCTGTTGAACCAAAGTGAGGGGGGAATATGTGTTGCTCACTCTTTAAACATACCTTTGGAAGATATCTACTTGAATTGTAGGCTGCTGAAGTCTTATATACGTTTCAGCTAAACTGAGTATAGTTTTGCAAAGAAAGAAGGACTGGTTTGTGTCCTATCACTTTGACACATGCATTATGTGGACATAACCATAGGAGCTTTTTGTGGAACCGAAATGTCCAATCAATTGAACACACTTTACTCTGCCAGCTTAGTACTAAGTCTGTGAAACGTCTATTAAACCCATGTGGGAACCAAACCGCTACTTGTGCAAAGATTATGGCAGGTGATTGGGAAAAACACATTTCCAAGGGTGAAGAAGTTGGGTCCTTTACATAAAGCAAGAAAAAGCAGCAAGAGTGTGAATGCTTATGAACAAATGACCAAATTACAAACTAGGCTGTCACATGTGTTGAACACATTAGGATCCAAACGCAGAAAGAAAAAGGCGGACTGGTATAAAAAAAGAAGCAAGCTTTAATGAACAAAAACTTCTAACAAAAACTGCACAAAAAACAAGGACTAGGCAAGGTAGAACTGAGGACAAAAGCAAAACAAAACAATGAACAAAAAGGCATGGCACATGGAACACTGGTAGCAAATCCACAAGGGAACACGAGGAATAACCCAGATACAGGAAACATGGAAACAAAACCACACCAGGGAACCATCGACTGGAACATTGACGACAAACTGACAGAGCGACACTGGAAACACAGGCCTA